GAGATTGGTGAGTCCCCCCAAGTCTTCTGGAAGGTCCAGATTCATCAGCCATGCGAGGCTAAGAGTCTGCAGTGCAGTGAGGCGGCCAAACCCTGCAGGTAGCGTGTCCACCCCCATGCACCAAAACACGAAAAGCGACTCCAGAGATGCGAGTCTGGTGAAGGAAGCAGGGAATCGGCGAAGCCGCAGGGTGCGCAGCATCAGCGTCTTCAAGGCTGGCAGGTTGCCGAAGTTTTCAGGTAGAGTGGACAAGGGGCAAGAGGGTATGGTCAAGCTCTCTAGGCAGGTGAGGGAGGTGAACTCATCGGTCAAGTCTCGGAAGCTTTCGCACCCGCTGATGCTGAGCTCTTGGAGGCGTGGCAGAACCTCTCCGATACTGTCTGGAAGTCGCTCTTGGCTGAAGCACTTGCTAAGCTGCAGGCGTTTCAGGAAGCTGTATGGCGATCCAAGAGGGAAGAAAATGCTGAAATCTGCATCGTGCAGTCCAAACGTGAGAGATTCGAGAGAGGGTAGCTGGGCGAGTGAGAAGGTAAGCGGATCTGGTGAAACGAGGAGAATGTCATCTGACAAGGAGAGGCGGATGAGGCTGGTGAGTTGAAGGAGGCTGGAAAGCTGGTCGTAGTGAAAAGAGGAGGCTTCAATGGAGACTGCAGTGAGAGACAAAAGGCTGCTGAGGTTCGGAGCCGTAAGAACCAAGGAGTGGTCAAGACGAGGATGCTCAAGTGTTGAAGCTGAAAGAATGAAGCTATTGGGTTCAGGTTTTCGTCAAGACAGTACAACGACAGCTGCTCCAGTTGAGTGCAGTGGGGGAAGAAATGATCCAAGCCAGATTTTGATATCACGCGGTCAATCCTTCCGTGCTTTCCGGCATCCGCTGCCATCATCAACTTCCCCACATGCAGTGCTCTCAGCCCAGGACACAAAGAGGCGAGGTCAGCTAGAAACGAGTTGTCCAGCGTTTCAACACTTCCGTCCGACAAATGCAGGTGGGTTAAATTCGGGAAGCAAGCGACGGCGGTGAGGACATCCTGACAAGAAACTACGTGGTCTTCTTTGACGAGAAGCATCGAAACATGCCTGTAAGCGAGACGCCGCCAGCGATGGCAAATGGACGCGATGAAGAGATTGTGAGCGGCATCTGCAGAGGCAGGAAGGGTCGGGTGTCTGGAGTAGCGTCCCAGTAGAGATGATTAGACCTGGGCGTGACAAAGTTGCACAGAGCATCGCTGTCCGATGTGCAAGAAATGACTGACTGCCAGGAAGGCCACAAGATCCTGATGAGAACGTCGTCTAGGAGATCTGTGGGTTCCACTACTAGAGTCCGTGAGAACAGCCATGTGCACCAACTGGCAGCTGACGTGAAGCTGAGGCCTAAACGGATTGGACCACGCGAGTATGATATAGAATACAACGGCTTCAGCGAGGATACACCAGTGTCGAAGGTTTTTTATAACCAGTTTCGTGTGTTGTTCGTGACTAAGACAACCTAGGAGCGATTGCTGCGAATGTAAAACTACGGACTCACGTGGAACAACGCTGGGTCACTCAGAATGAGTGCGTCGCACCTGGAAAAATGTTGGGTAAGTAGCTTTGGCAGGGGTACTACTAGCGACCCTGCGCTTTGAAGGGGACTACAGTGCCAGTAGCGGGCACTTTCCACCCCTCCGTGCCTCAGACACGGAAGTTATAGAAACAAGACTGTAGTCTTCCCCACATTCACCCACGTGTCACCAATTTCCATGCCACGCACTGTACTGGATATTCTAACCAACTATGCGCAACAGACTTTTGTCCCTTCTGCCAAATCGAATCCGTCAAGCTTATATGCTATAGTCTGTGTAGGCTGTAGTGGGGTAGACAATATGGGGTACAACACTTTTAGGTTTTCCTACTTGTACCCACCTGTTTCCTAGTCCATTCATTCCTCGTTTCTTCTCATGGTATAGAGCAGGTTCCCTAGTGGGAACGTTTCCTAGGGCCCACCGAAAATTCGATTTTTTTTTCCCTGCCCGGAGCGCGCATCACCCCTGCCCGAGTCGCGCCCCGCGTCCCCTGCCCTTAGTGGCCCCTTAGCCGCTCCTTCGCGGCCCCTCTCACGGCCCCTCGCGGCCCCTTAGCCGCTCCCTCGCTGCCCCACTCACAGCCCCTCGCGGCCCCTCTCTCACGGCCCCTCGCGGCCCCTCTCTTACGACCCCTCGCGGCCCCTTCGCGGCCCCTCCGCGGCCCCTCTCCAGACCCCTCGTGGCCCCGTCGCGGCTCCCTCGCGGCCCCGTTGCGGCTCCCTCGTCGCCCCTGCCCGCCGCGGCGCCCTGCCCTAACCCGCGCCCTGGAGCAGCCGCCACTCCCTCGCTGCCCCACTCACGGCCCCTCGCGGCCCCTCTCTCACGGCCCCTCGCGGCCCCTCTCTTACGGCCCCTCACGGCCCCTTCGCGGCCCCTCCGCGGCCCCTCTCCAGACCCCTCGTGGCCCCGTCGCGGCTCCCTCGCGGCCCCGTTGCGGCTCCCTTGTCGCCCCTGCCCGCCGCGGCGCCCTGCCCTAACCCGTGCCCTGGAGCAACCGCCACTGCAGCAGCTGTCAAATATACTATGAGTACGGCCTAGGCTTAGTAGCCTAGGCCACAATAGGACTAGAACGAGGAGGCGCCAAGTACAAGCTAGGAACGTGTGCACGAACAGAATTGAGAAGGGATGATTGAACTAGCAAGCAGCAGGATACAAATAGCAAACCCTAAAGGGTTGTACTCACTATTGAGTGCCCCACTGCAGGCTACACAAACAACATATTCTGACACACCCCCATAGCCAAAGTGGGGTGTAATCAGCACAATGAACAAGCAGTGCAATAGTTCACAATTATCAGCAAAGCTAGAGGCTATCACAGAGGGCAAGTGAGGAGGAGGAGGGACTGTGAGGGGAGAAAAAGATGGGAGGCGACGACTGAAGCTGCAGACACACGGGCAACAGAAGCGGCTGACACAGTGGCGGCTGACACAGTGGCTACCGAGGCAAGGGCCCCGGACTACTGGAGTAACTGGCTCTGCGGCTACGACGAGCGGCAGAAGCAACGGACCCACGGGCGACTGGTGCAGCAAGCTCTCTGAGCTACCGCCGACAAGGGCCCCGGAATACAGGAGTAACACGCTCTGCGGCTGCGACGAGCGGCAGGAGCAACGGACCCACGGGCAACAGGTGCAGCAGGCTCTTTGAGCTACTGGCGACAAGGGCCCCGGAATACAGGCGCTGCGGACGACACGACGGCTGCCTCCACTCAACCTCCCCCAACTATCCCACACCCCCCTACACACACCCCCAGTTTCACCCCTAGCTCCACTCCCACATCACCCCCCTAGCTCCACTCCCCACAGCTCCCACACCTTCACCCCCCTCAGCGGCAGCTGCAGCAGTGGGAGACGAAAAAGGAGGAGGGGAGAACCCACACCTCTCACCCCCATGCTTGCCACCCCACACCCCAACCACCGCGGAACGCACGGCGGAATGGGAGCAATGGGCAGCACGGGGGGGGGGGGGGGGGACGGGACGGGCTTCCACAGGGGCAGCTCGCGCGGGTCCTGGGGCGGCTGCTGCAGGCACGGGCTGCTCCAGGGGCGGCTGCTGCATGCACGGGCTGCTCCAGGGGCGGCTGCTGCAGGTGCGGGTTGCTCCAGGGGCGGCTGCTGCAGGTGCGGGCTGCTCCAGGGGCGGCTGCTGCAGTGGCGGGCGGCTCCAAGGGCGGCCGCTGCAGGTGAAAGGTAGGAGGAGGGGGGGGGGGGGGAGGGAGGGGGAAACGCACGGCCCCCAGGGCGCCCCGAGGGGCGATGAGAAGGGAGCCGCGCGGCCCCCCCTTGGGGCGCCGCGACGGGCACCACGGAGGGCGCCGCGACGGGCCCCCAGAGTCGCCCCGACGGGCGACGGGGAGGGCGCCGCGCGGGCCTCCCGAAGTCGCCTCGACGGGCGACGAGAAGGGTTGCGCGCGGGGCCCCCGAAGTCGCCTCAACGGGCGACGGGGAGGGCCGCGCACGGCCCCCGAAGACGCCTCGACGGGCGACGGGAGGGGACCGCGCGCGGCCCCCGTGGTCGCCACGACAGGTGACTGGTGGGGAGGCCGCGCGGGCCCCCAAGGTCGCCTTGACGGGCGACGAGAGGGGAGGCCACGCGGGTCCCCGAGGTCGCCTCGACGGGCGACGGGAGGGGAGGCTGCGCGCGGCCCCCGTGGTCGCCTCGACGGGCGACGGGAGGGGAGGCCGCGCGGTTCCCCGAGATCGCCTCGACGGGCGCTTTGACGGGAGGGGACCTCGGAGGCCCCCCCAAGGGCACAACGACGGGCGCCACGGAAGGGAAAACCGCCAGGCGCCCCGAGCGCGCGGCGGGCAGAAATTAGGGTTTCGCCGCCGCGCGCCCCGTGGTGCGCGGCGGACACTGCGGCAGCGGAAACGGGTGGTGGGCACATACACAGGAAGGCGGCAGACATGCCGCCCTCTGATACCATGTCAAATGTACTAGGAGTACGGCCTAGGCTTAGGGTGCATTCCTGGTTCGTGGCAGGGCCACTGTAGCAGGCACTGTTGGTGGCATGCGGGAAAACCGCATGCCACCAACATTTTGCCCGAGTCGCGCGCGACACGATTTTGGTGGAATTGACATGACATTTTTGGGACATTGCCCAATCACGCACGTGTATTTGCGCGCCAAAATTCCTGACACCAACCTGGCGTTTTATGTGTTCGTGGCAGGCTGCCATCTACAGTGGCCCTGCCACGAGCCAGGAATGCACCCTTAGTAGCCTAGGCCACAGTAGGACTAGAACGAGGAGGCGCCAAGTACAAGCTAGGAACGTGTGCACGAACAGAATTGAGAAGGGATGATTGAACTAGCAAGCAGCAGGATACAAATAGCAAACCCTAAGGGGCTGTACTCACTATTGAGTGCCCCACTGCAGGCTACACAAACAACATATTCTGACAGCACCCGCCCCTGGTGCAACCGCCACAGCAGCAGCCGCCCCTAGAGCAGCCGCCACTGCAGCAGCCGCCCCTGGAACAGCCGCCACTGTAGCAGCCGCCCCTGGGGCAGCCGCCCCTGCAGCAGCCGCCCTTGGAGCAGCCGCCACTGCAGCAGCCGCCCTTGGAGCAGCCGCCACTGCAGCAGCCGCTCTAGAGCAGCCGCCACTGCAGCAGCAGCCCCTGGAGCAGCGGCCACTGCAGCAGCCGCCCCTGGAGCAGCCGCCACTGCAGAAGCCGACCCTGGAGGAGCCGCCACTGCAGCAGCCGCCCCTGGAGCAGCCGCCACTGCAGCAGCCGCCCCTGGAGCAGCCGCCACTGCAGCAGCCGCCCCTGGAGCAGCCGCCACTGCAGCAGCCGCCCCTGGAGCAGCCGCCCCTGCAGCAGCCGCCCCTGGAGCAGCCGCCACTGCAGCAGCCGCCCCTGGAGCAGCCGCCCCTGCAGCAGCCGCCCCTGGAGCAGCCGCCCCTACAGCAGCCGCCCCTGGAGCAGCCGCCCCTGCAGCAGCCGCCGCTGGAGCAGCCGCCTGTGCAGTAGCTGCCCCTACAGCAGCCGCGGAGCCCTCGCCCTGCAGTGGTAGCGGCCTCGCCGTTGCCGCCGTCGTACTCTTGCCATTCTCGCCACTGGTGAGCACTGCCCTGTCTGTTACTGCTGCTCTTGCTGCTACTACTCTTTCTACTGCTACTACTGCTCCTGGCGTGGCCAAATGCAGCTCCAGCGCCGACAACGTGAGTCTCTCGCCCCCCAACAGCTTCGTGAGTGGTACGCTAGTTGGGGTTGTAGGGGTGGCCGCGCTGCGACTACTGCTACTGCTTTTACTGCTGCTACTGCTGCTACTGCGGCTACCACTGCTCCTCCTGCTCCTGGCGGTGGCCAGATGCAGTTCCAGCGACGTCCGCGTGAGTCCCTCACGCCCCAGTAGCTTCGTGAGTGGTACGCTACTTGGGGTTGTCGGGGTGGCCGTAGTGGGAGTCGTTCTGGCATGAGGAGTTCGGGAGCTACTTGTAGTGGCCAGGTGCAGCTGCAGCGTAGTCTGCGCGCGGTCCTTTCGCCCTAGCAGCTTCGTAAGTGGTACGCTAAGCGTGGAGGGTCACGGAGTTCTGCCCGCTGTACGTACGTCATTCGCACTGGTGCTCGGACTGGTCAGCCCTGCGGGACGCTTGGTCACGCCGAGTCCCGCTGCTTCGCCCGTCTGAGCGACGTCTGGCGTACGGAGTTTGGCGACGCCGCTAAGCTCCCCGACAGGGTGGAGCTGCTTAGGCAAAGGGTAGATATCTATGCTCTTGACTATGATGCTATCCTCACTGCCATGTATGCATTGCCTACTAGTGATGTGGGTGACTGTTACCTGTGTGTTCCGCCTGACCCAGGCATTGAGGCTGGTGCTCTAGGTGCTGGTGAGGCTGCTGCTCTAGGTGCTAGTGCGTCTGCTCCTCCAGGTGCTGGTGAGTCTACTGCCCCAGGTGCTGGTGAGTCTGCTGCCCCAGGTGCTGGTGAGTCTGCTCTCTCAGGTACCACGTCGTCTCAGGTGTAACACACCTTCACCCTTGACTCGGGTGCTTCCCGCTCCTTCTTTCGAGACCGCACCACACTCACCCCGCTTAGTCGGCCGATTGCAGTCTCCCTGGCAGACCCCTCTGGGGGTCCCGTCCTTGCCCACTTCTCCACTGTCTTACCGTGTCTGGCGGCCCCTTGTGGCTCTCTGTTGGGTCTTTACCTCCCCTCGTTCTCTACAAACTTGGTGAGTGGTGCTGACCTACAGGACGCAAGGGTTGACCAGTTCACTCCTGCGTGTCAGTGAGTGACCCACTGTACGTGTGCTAGGACGGGCCGACACTTGGCCACGTTTACCTGTCAGCCGGGGTCGAGCCTGTACACACTGACTACTGAGTCGCCTCAGGTAGGTGCGTCGAGTCAGGTGTTTGCTGCAGCGTCCAGGTCTGGTCCTGAGTCTGCCCCCTGCTCGTGTCGTCTCCTGTCTCACCAGACTCTCCTCTGGCACCACCGCCTTGGTCACCCACCCTGCCTTGTCTCCGAGGCATGGCCTCTCGTTTCCTTGTCTCAGGTCTCCCCCGGTCCCTCCCTTCTCTTCCTCCGGGGCCTGGCCCCACCTGCGTTCCCTGCGTCAAGGGGCGGCAGCGCGCCGCTCCTCACTCCTCCGAGTTTCCTCCGACAGAGGCTCCGCTGCAGACGCTTCACATGGACGTGTTGGGCCCATCTCGCGTCCGTGGACAGGGTCACGAGCGTTACTTCCAGCTGGTGGTTGACGACTACTCGCGTTACACCGCAGTCTTCCCCTTGCGCAGCAAGGGTGACGTCACTGAGGTGTTGATCGACTAGATCCGCGCAGCTCGTCTCCAGCTGAGAGAGAGTTTCGGCTCGGACTTTCCTGTCTTGCGTCTGCACTCCGACAGAGGCGGTGAGTTTTCCTCTGACCTTTAAGGAGCCTTCTGTAGTGCACAGGGCATGCGCCAGACGTTCACGCTTCCGGCCTCTCCACAGCAAAATGGGATTGCAGAGCGCCGCATTGGCATGGTCATGGACGTCGCTCGCACGTCCATGATCCATGCGGCTGCTCCCCATTTTTTGTGGCCGTTCGCGGTTCAGTACGCAGCGCATCAGATCAACCTCCAGCCCCGGGTCTCCTTGCCGGAGACGTCCCCCACTCTGCGGTGGACGGGGAAGGTTGGCGATGCGTCTGCGTTTCGTGTCTGGGGATCTTGGGCTTTTGTCCGCGACTTGTGTGCGGACAAGCTGTCCCCCCGTGCTGTTCCCTGCGTCTTCCTTGGCTTCCCCCCTGACGCGCCTGGTTGGCAGTTCTACCACCCCACCTCGCGCCGTGTTCTGTTGTCCCAGGACGTCACCTTTGACGAGTCGGTCCCCTTCTACCGGCTCTTCCCCTACCGCACCGCCCCGCTCCCCCCTCCGCCACTCTTCCTCACGCCAAGTGCTGGCTTGGTAGACCCCTTGCCTCCCCAGGTTCTTGCTCCCTCAGGTGTTTCCCAGGTAGACGCGGTCGAGCCTGTCAAGGTAGCTGTCGCCTCTGGTCCTGCGCGAGGTACTGAGCGTGCTGAGCCTGGTGGTGCTGGGTCTGGAGGTACTACGCCTGGGGGTGCTAAGCCTGGGGGTGCGGAGACTACGGGTGCTGAGCGTGGGGGTGCAGTGACTGTGGGTGCTGAGCCTGGGGGTGCAGTGACTGTGGGTGCTGAGCCTGGGGGTGCAGTGACTGTGGGTGCTGAGCCTGGGGGTGCAGAGACTGCACGTGCTGAGCCTGGGGGTGCTGTCCCTGGGGGTGCTGGGTCTGGAGGTCCTCAGCCCGGAGGTGCTGCGCCTAGGGGAGCTCTCTCTTCCCAACAGCTACGTGAGTGGTACTCTCGGTACTGCCGCGGCCTCCGGGGTGCTTCTGGAGCTGTTGGCGGTGGTCCTGCTGGAGGTGCTGCTGGTGCTGTTGGTGCTGCTGGCGGTGCTGGAGCTGGCGGTCCTGCTGGTGTTGGCGCTGGAGGTGCTGCTGGCACTGGTACTTCTGAGGGTGCTGGAGTTGGCGCTACTGGAGCTGGAGGTGCTGCTGGTGTTGGAGCTGGCAGTGCTGCTGGTGCTGGTGCTTTTGAGGGTGCTGGAGTTGGCGCTGCTGGAGCTGGAGGTGCTGCTGGTGCTGGTTCTTCTGAGGGTGCTGGAGTTGGCGCTAGTGGAGCTGGAGTTGCTGCTCGCGCTGGTGCTGCCGCTGGGGGTACTGGCGCTGTCCCTGCTGTTTCAGGAGGCGCTGCGCGGCCTCGGCCGTACTTCGTTCCGCTCCTTGAGCAGGTTCTTGGTCTCCCGCCTTCTACTGGTCCTCCTCCTCCCTTAGCGTGTCCACAGCCTGTCCAGCCGCAGTCACAGTTACAGCCCGCCTCACCGCTGCCTGCTCCTTCTCCCTACACTAGTCCTACTGGAGGTCTTGCTGAGCGCCGTGCGCGTGCGTCTCGCCCTGCGTCGCCTGTTCGTGCTGCTCGCACTAGTCGTCGTGTTCCGCGTCAACGTCCTCTTGCGGTCTCGGGCACGCACCAGATGGCACTGCGTCCTTCCACTGCCCCGCAGAGTGTCCCTTTGCCGTCTCTTCCTGAGACCTCTCTTCCTGTGCTTGCTGACCCGGAGTCTGACTCTCTTCGTGCTGCCAGTCCTACTATCACGCGTCTCCTGGCTACTGTTCTCACTGACCCTTCCTTTGAGTCCACTGCTGCGTCTGCCTTAGTTGCTGAGCTTGTCAAACCTCTCCCACCCCGAAGATGACCACTCTTCGAGTGCTGCTGCACATAGCCGCTCAGCGCGACTACGAGCTTCACTCTCTTGACTTTCAGCACAACTTTCTTGCACGGCAGCCTGCACGAGGAGATCTGGCTGCGCCGCCCACCTGGCTTCACTGGGTCGTTTCCTCGTGGTACCCAGTGGAGCCTCCGGCGGCCTGTCTACGGTCTCCGCCAGGCACCACGTGAGTGGCACGACACACTGAGGACTACACTTGCGGCTCTTGGGTTTACTCCTTCTACAGCCGACCCGTCGCTGTTTCTGCGCACCGACACTTCTTTGCCGCCGTTCTACATCCTCGTGTACGTCGACGACTTGGTCTTTGCCACAGCTGACTCTGCTGGACTCGCCCAGGTGAAGTCCGAGCTGCAGAAGAGACACACGTGCACAGACCTGGGTGAATTACGCAGCTACCTTGGCTTGCAGATCACCCAGGACAGAGCACAGTACACCATTACCCTGACTCAGTCACACATGGTGCAGCAAGTCCTTCAGCGCTTCGACTTCACGTACTCCTTGCCTCAGGCCACTCCTCTGTCTACTCGCCACTCGCTCTCAGCTCTGCCTTCAGATGAGTCCGTAGAGTCGAGTGGCCCGTACCCAAAGCTTGTTGGCTACCTCATGTACCTGATGACCTGCACACGACCTGACCTTGCATACCCTCTTAGCATCTTGGCACGCTATGTTGCTCCTGGGAGACACCGACCAGAGCACATGGCTGCAGCGAAGAGGGTGTTGCGCTTCTTTTGTAGTACGTCAGGCATGGGGCTAGTGCTTGGAGGGCGGCGTTCAGTGGTTCTTACAGGTCATGCAGACGCTTCTTGGGCTGACAACCAGGCTACGCAGCGGTCGTCACAGGGTTACACCTTCAGCCTTGGTTCCAGCTCTGTTTCTTGGCGGTCTACCTGCTCGTCTTCTCTTCTCGGCTCCTGCTGTGAGGTTGAGATCTACGCGGGGGCCATGGCTGCACAGGAGCTACGCTGGCTCACCTACCTGCTGACTGACCTAGGAGAGACGCCTCGTTCTCCTCCAGTTCTGTACGTAGACAACAAGGCCATGCTGGCCTTATGTCGGGAGCACAGACTGGAGCACATAACGAAGCACATTGCTCTTCTCTACTTCCTTGCTCGTGAGCTGCAGCAGCGTGGTCAGCTGCGCCTTACTTACATGGCCTCTGAGGCCAACACTGCTGATATCTTTACCAAGGCACTTCCGCCTTGTGATCATCTGCGCTGTTGTACGATGCTAGGTCTTGTGCCTACTTGGCCTCACTTGCTCACTTCTTGACCTTACTTGTACTGTGATCTTTCTATACCTGCACTTGCTTGTTCACC